CCCCCCCACTGACCCCTGGGACCATTCTTATCCAGAGGGCAGGCAGCAGCAGGTTGTTCCCCACAACCCAGTGGGTCTGCTGGAATCTAAGCCTCGGGCATTCCCCCTCTCCAAGCCAGGCACGTGTGGCACCATGCAGCTGCCACAGCCTCCTTTGCTCACTGGCAGGGTCCGCAGCATGTGGACCAGCTGGCAGGGGAACCATCCCCCTGTCCACCTGCAAGTGCTGGGGGAGCTGTTCCTGGCTGAGGGGGCAGCCCTGCCCAGGGGGATGGCACAGGCACATGGAGCAGTGTCCTCCACCTTGGTGGCTGGGTACTCCAGCTATCCCTCCAGTCTGTGAGAGCGGGACGGGCTGGTTTTGTTCCCAGCTGACGTGCTGGCACGTGTGTTCAGGCCCACAGCTCAGGGATGCATAGCTTTGCTGCTGGGCATTTCCCCTCTGGAGGAGACTGCCTGGCCTGGGCTAAGGGCTGGCCATCCGGAGTGCCACCTTGCTTGTCACCGGTGCTACAGCCAGGTCAGAGCCAGCTACAAAATCTCTGCAGCCATGCCAGCAGTGCTGGCAGACACCATCCTCCGCAGTCCAGGTTAATTGAGCCTCCCCTCCCAGTCTACCATTCCTCCCAGCAGCTCCTTCCTGTGACTGCATCCTTGTGCAGAAACCTCCCCTGGCTTGCCTGGGAGGAGCTCGTTCCGTGAGAGGAACAGTGTTGTCAGGGCAGGGAAACTGAGGCACATAGGAGTCACCTGGCAGAGGATCCCCATGTTCTCCCTGTGGCCTGTCCCAGCTCTGAATGGCCAACTGGAGAGCGTACAAGCTCCCCAGCCTGGCAACTGCCTGCTCCCTTTGGCTCAGCCAAGGGAGCTGTGGTTGGCATCATGACTTGTCAGGATATTGGGTGCCATTGATCTCTTGGGGAAGGGCGAGCTGGGGCTGAGCACCCCACGGCCCTCCTGCTTCTTCCCCAGTCCCTCCCATGGCACAGGATCCCAAAGTCCCACACAGCCCTGCCTCCCAGCTCACTGGCACACAGTCTTGTCTCAAGGAAGCCCTGAGGGTGAGCTGCACCCAGGGGGGCTCTATGCATAGAGATGCGAGAGCTGTGGCAGTGCCCAAGTGTTGAGGGGCTGGTGGAGTGGCACAGGCTGGGGTGGATGACAAGGGGCGGGGAAGATACTGTCTCCCAAGCAAGGGCAATGGGAGGACGAAGGGCACTGTGGAGTAGGGTGTCCTCCTGGAGCTGACGGGCTGCAGGTCTCTCCCAGGTGCCCAGGATGCTGGTGCTGTGCCTGCTGTCCCTGGCCTGGCTCAGTGAGGGGTCCCAGCGCAGCGAACCCATGTTCACAGCCGTCACCCCCCGCTTCCTCCCGCCCGACTACGACAGCAACCCCACGCAGCTCAACTATGGCGTGGCCGTCACTGACCTGGATGCCGACGGTGACTTTGAGATCGTGGTGGCGGGGTGAGTGGTGCACCCAGCCCCTCGGTGACAGTTGGACCTGGTGGCCCTGCAGAGCCAGGAGCATCTCTCTCCTCCATGGGCATGTGGCCAGCTGGGGGGTTGAGCACACGGGTGGTGGGGCGGGGGTCTGCATGCACCCACTCATGCCTGTGCACTCACATAGGGTGTTGATGCCAGCTGGGTATCTGTGCAGGGTCACGCAGGTGCCCCCATCCTGGCCCCAGGGCCAGCTCCCCCCTTCTATGGGGTGGTGGC